CTGCTCATATTTTTGGAACTCCATCTAAGATATTTGAACTCTTGATGGGGCAGCTGGCGGTCGCCTGTTCCTGGGTACAAGCGGTGCATGGAGTGCAGTGGTAAAAGGGCTGATCCATGATGGATCCCAATGTGGATGGTGCAAGAGGCCCCTGCTGGGTCTGTATGAGGCTGCTGACATTGCGGTAGAACAGTTGGACCCATTGGACGTAGACTTCAGGGACGCTGTAGGCTTGTCAGATGAGCTTATGCAGTATCCGGTATTTTCCAAAGATTTTCTCCAAACCCAGAAATGCCATATGGACAGGCAGTGAGGCAGTCTTACTAGCTGTTAGTCCAGGCACAGGTTAGCACATGTACTAAATACCAGCCAAGAAGGGTTTTTCTAGTTTGGCTAACTCACAGAATAATAGCAGATCCTGGTCTTAAGTATGAACAAAGGAAGACAGAAAGAAGGTAATCGTTGAACATTTTGTGTCGTGATGGGAGTGTTGTGGGAATCTCTGGCTCGTGTTATGTTTCCTCATTAAAAAGCTGATGTGTAAACAGTGAAAACAGGAGTTTAAGTTCAGACACATTTTTAATGCGTGAATTCACCAGAGACGTCATTAACATGGCATGATGCACATCAGGGGGATAGCTCTCTCACAGACACGCTAACATACAGATGTGTGCACGCACTAGGCTTAGCGGCTGTGACAGAGAGAGGAGGCACAGAGAGCTGTGTTTTAATTGAGTCAGCCGAAAGTGCTGGCTGAGCAGAACGATATGACTGATACGGATTAGAACCAGCCTCCCTTATTCATCGATTTCTGCAGGGGTGGGAGTCAGAGTGGGGGAGTGGACAGAAGACAAAAAGGGAGTAAAATCTTTGTCTATTGATTTACAGAAGGAGAAAATGACAGTGGAAGTTAAAGAAAGACATGTGGCTCCAGATACAGACACGTTCTAGCAAAAGCAGGTTTCAAGTTAGAAGAAAAGAGTTGATAAGTTGAGAAATGA